CAGTTAAATTTCATTTCCACTCCTCCAACAAGCACCAATGTACGTTTGTGCTTTACTTCACTGAAGTTAAGCTGCGCTCCCCTACAAATGACTGAGCAACTTTTCAATGGCAAAGTGGTAGAAGCAGCAAAACGCATTTCCAAGGGGACGCGAACGAAGTCGAACGGCAAGATGAAAAAACTTTAAAAGCATACTAAAGGTCACTCACGTGGTCTAAGAAAAAGTAGGGAAACAAAATGAAGTAAGAAAGAAGAAAAATACTTTAAAAAATGTAGTTGCGCGCTTCACTGGCTTCATGATATCAGCCCTGTCACGATTACAGTTTCGAGTGCGCGAAAAAAATACAAGGGAAATGCAACACCAATAAAAAAAAAAGAAGCAAAAACCAACAACGAAGCCAACTCGAAAAAGATAAGGTCGGCGGACTTAACGGCATATGTACCCACGCAGCGTTAGAAAGCACCGCTATCCACATTCTAAGCCATTGCAAACCCAAAATGCACGCTTTACACCATCCGCCGCCTCACTTCTGCACTTCCGTTCTGCCGTGCGCGGAAAAGCTTCTGAATAAACCAAAAACCGATTTAAGCCATTAGAATAAACTCACGCTTACTTGTATATATGGGTAAATTCACGACAAATCGACCAGTGGTTGGAATCGAGATTTTTGATTTGGATGAATTTTGGTCAGAACATTTCTTTTATCCTATAACGAAATTCTGCCAATGGAGAGAAATAATGTTTATTTCGAAAGCTATGTAAAAATTCACAATTTCCGTAATTTTTTGTATTTTTTGAATATCTCGAACATTATTCAAGTTACAAAAATGGTCTGGGCCCGTTGATATTTGGGACTATAACAAAAAATAATAATTTTATAAATTTCATAAAAATAAAAAAATTTACAGAACTTTTAAATTTAACTTTAAATTTTTTTCGAAATTCGAAAATTCGTAAAAAAACATCTCCCTCAAAAATTCAGGCTCACTTTTTAAGCTCAGTTAGATGTGTTGCATAAAAAAATGCCAAAAATTTATATAACCTTTTGTTTTTATAATTTTCTTAATTTCAAAATTGTGGTGTTTTTTCCTCTACATTTTTCTTTTCATAGCCCTAAATAAAATGAAACCAGAACCATTTTTGTAACTATAATAGGTTTTGAAACGAAAATTTTCATCTTTCGAAAGAAAATTTTTTATTAATTTTTCCTTTGCAGAACTTTTGTATATGCGAGGCCACGCGCTGAATTTGTACATATGTACACAAAGCCGTATCACGACATATGAAAGAAAAAAATTTAAGCGCGTGTCAGTTTTATTTAAACACCTATGGCGATAGAAAATTTGGGTGGAAACAAATTTTTTTTAGGCACCCCCTAAAAACCGCTAAATCGCGGTTTTTCCTATAACTTTCTTATTTTATATCCGATTTTTTAACTCTTTATGTTGCTAAAAAGGTCTCGCTCATAACTAATCGGCCATTAAACAGTTTTGGCCTTCAAAAATTTGGCAACCCTACTTTTCATAATACATTATTGAACATCTAGAGGCCAAGTCCTTTCATTTGATATTTGATTAGCGTGGTAAAAAAGTCTCGTCTTTGCTTTATACTATGTAAGGAAGAGCTTTGACCGAAATTCAAAAGTTGGTCGATTTGACATGGATTAACCCATATATGCATGCATACGTATACATACTACAGTGGCGGTCAAAAATAGATGTATGGTGTTTGGTTTTTAATATTTACATTGTTTTCATGCTAAAATTTTTTCGTTATTTTTTATAAAAATATGGTTCATACTTTTATTAAAACCATACAAATCACACTTTCAAACTTTATAAAGAATTTAGAAAAATTCCACAAATTTTTATCTAACTTTCGAGAGTTTTATAAAAAATTTCTATAAGTTGTTTGGGTGTGCAGTTAACAGGCTTATAAAATCTTTATTTTTTTAATAATTTTTTTGATGACGGCGGTTTTCACTTATAAACATGAATTGCTTGTAGAAGAATATGCGCAAGACCATTTCCGAAAAAAAGACAAATTTTTATTTAAATTTCTAGAATTTTAAACAAAATTTTTATAAATTGTTTGGGTATGCAGTTAACAGGCTTATACATTTTTTTTATCATTTTTTTTTTTTGATGACGGCGGTTTTCACTTTTGTCCATATAAACATGAATTTCTTGTAGAAGAATATGCGCAAGACCGTTTGCGAAAAAAATAAAAAGTCAACGCCAGTTTTCCTAAATTTCGTTATTTATATGCAAAAAAAAGGGCAAAAGCCGTAGAAAAAAAAAATATTAAAAATCAATGCGATTTTGTAGCCGCTCAGAACTTGCACTTATTTTGATAAAAAAAATTTGTAGGCCTAGTCCCAAAAAATTTATAAAAATTCTGGATAAAAAGCTCGAAATTTAAATAAAAATTTGTCGAATTTTTGTTAAAGCATGAACCATATATTTATAAAAAAACATATCAAACAAATTTTAGCTTCAAAAACAGTGTAAATATTGAAAAGAAAACAGCATTCATCCATTTTTAACCGCCACTGTATATATACACACTGCAAATGACTGTAACTGCAAGCAACTTTTATATAACTGAAAACTAACCGGTTAAGTGGGGGCGGGTGGGGTAGAGGTGTGTACTTACATACACCACATGCCTCATGCCACAAGCTGCCACTGTCACGTTGGCAAACTTTGATTGTCAAAGGAATTGCTATGCGAGGGAGTGAAAAATAATGTAAGCAGCGCGAAAGAATTTCACAGCGGGCAGAAGGGAAATGCGGAGAAAGTGGGAGTGTTCGCCAACTACTTTGTAAAATACTGCAGTGATCAAGTAATGCAAAGACCTTTTGGGGTCACCGTCAGTTTCAATGACTTTTGCAAATTCACAGCGACAACAATAGCAACAGCAACAATCACTTATGAAACTTCAACTCAAAACGATGAAAAAATTCACTATTTGATTGAGCTTATATAAAAAAATAAACTGCAGCCATAAATGATTTCGCTGGCAAAAGTGTGTGGGAATATTGCTTTTCACTACATAGAGAACACATTTAAGTCCTATTGTTTTTTGATTCCCTTGAATAGGTACAGTGGATTTAACACAAAGAAAGATCAATCAACAAAAACATACCATGCATTTTAATTCTACTATACAACACTTTTAGTATTTTCTACTCATCCTTAATTCCAATGTATGAAAAAACCCTACTAAAACGACTATGTAGAGGCACTTTGAAAAATCAAGGACATCTCGCTGCTTACCACTTTAATCGTCGGAAAGAAAAACTGCCAACCATCACATGGATTGCCTGACACACAAACTGTGCAAAACATCCAATTCCAAATATTTTCCATTAAATTTAGGTGCTGTAAATAGAACGAAATCGTGCGAATCGGTGCGTAGCTTTGGTAGCATATTCAAGAAATAGGTACGAAAAATGTAAAAAAAAAAATTATTTTATGCTTGTTTTGCATGAATTATACGAAATTTTGGAAACTGCAAATATTATATCAACTCCACTGAACTACGAAATCGCAGTTGAGACCGCCATACATACTCTCTTATTGGGCATGGAGGGGAACCAAACAACGTTCGTCCTTTCAAAAATCGTGGCAATTATTATTAAATCCGTTGTAGCCTTCAAAATTAAACTTTTCGCCAGAAAAAACCACAATTTTCTAGTTGTCCTTTGTTTAGAGTAATCCCTAAGTTGCCTTGTGGTGTCATCAACACCAACGTTTCTCTTTCATTTTGGTCCACTAGTTCGGCAATAAAATGCTGACCTCGTAAAGGACTTTTGTTATTTTCGTCTAACTTTTGTGTTTTGACTCCATTTCATGCTTGTTTCATGCGATCTTACGGGCCGACTTCAGTTCAGTTTAACCCATCAAATACCGCCAGAATGGGATTTTTTAACCCTTAGTTTCAAAAATAGCTTATAGATGGTTAAAATGTCCATTTAAATATTGCGCTAAATTTTTCTAAGGATAACCGAATGTAATGAAAAATAATACTAATTTTTACCAAAAAGGGGGAACTTTAACCCTAAGTAGAAAACATTGCGATGCGAGGGAGCAAATCCTGGGGTTTCACCACCACTTAAGAATGCTAACGATAAAACGATGTGAGCAGTTGTAATTCGATGAACTTTTTGAATATCAGCGACCATGTTTGTTACGTCTTTTTGCATTTCAGGTGACGATATATACATATGTATGTATATATACATAAGCAAAATAATGCGTTAGTATAGAAAAAAAGTTGATGAAAAATTTCGTTATTGCTCCGATTTTTCGAATCATTTACTCCCGAATCGAGTTTCAGTAGTCCGAACGCTGATGCAGATGTTTTGATGTGGAGTCCAATTTATAACAAAAATTGCGAAAATCCCATGCCTTTACTCCACAATGCATCAACATAAATCTATCCATATTATTTTATAAATACCGCTACATTTCAAAATCCAAACACTTTCTTCTCTCCACTTGAAACCAAAAAACGACAACAAAGATATATATGTACATGCATATTAGGCAGCTGCAAATAGATGTACATATGTCAAATATATTCTTATAAATGTATTTGTTATTTAGCGGGTTTTTCTCATTCTTGCGCAACACTCCAGCTCCTTTCATTATTCAAAATACAAGTATGTATATGTATAAATGTAACCATAATTTCTACCTTTCGACAAAAGCTAATTTGCCTTTTGTCTCCAATATTTGTACCTTATGCATCAGCTCACAGTAAATATACATATATGTACATACATACTATGTATGTAAGTATGTAAAGTTCTACATTATTGGCTATATAATGTATGTACAAATATACACATGTACATATGTATATGTGGATATGTTTTCACGTCTCCTTGGGCTAGGTACTCGTACTCTGCTTATATTTGTGTATACTTGATAACTAATTTTCTCTGCGCATATCTTCCATTTAATTTTCCTTGTATTTTTCTTCTGTTATTACAGGTTCCTAATATGCCACTGAAAATGCCAACGCATGACGAAAATGGCGGCTCCACTAACACAACCACCACAAATACAAACGCAAATGCCACCACACCCGCCTCAACGACGAATACATTTCGTTCGACGCCAACATCTGTTGCTACAAGCACAGCGATGGCGTCTGGTGGGACAGCTGCGTTGACGTTAGCTGCCGCGCCCTTATCGTCCTTGTCGCCATCGCCGTCGCCATCTTCGTCGTCCTCGTCGTCGTCGTCGTTGACGTTGGGGTCGTTGTCATCATCCTTGGCATGTTTGCATCAGCAACGTTTTCTCGATTCGCGGCAATTACATGCACAACCGGTAGATGTGTCGTCGCTGGCGCTAACAAAAGGTAAATTTTAGTTCATTTTTATGTTTTTTCATCTCTCTTGTTACTAAAGTAGTTAGTAGTGTAAGAAAGTATATTTTTGTGTTGAGGTAAATTTGTGCGAAAAATTGGATCCTAAGGTAATACACTCATTAAATTGTCGATGAGCTGCGGAATCGATACGAGATGATAAAATATTTGGTCTTAGGAAGTCTACAATAGCTGTACTCTGAGAGTCTTCGACTACTTAAGATTATATAATACCAATTTCCAATAGAGGTAACTTCGGTGATCTGTAGATCTA